CCTGATTTCTAGGCCAATAGGCTTTCTAGGCTTCCAGGGCAGCTTTTGCTCTCTGTTAGAGAACTGCCTTTTTAAGAGCACCAAGCCAGATCACCTTAATGGCCAGTTTGCTAAAGGCAAGAAGGAACTGCTAGAGGAAAATAATAGCCTAATAAAAACTACACTGGATTAGAACATTCCTTTGGATTTGGTTTATTTGTACATAAGCACTGTGGACACTGTAATAATTTGTCTGCAACCGGAATTGATGTGTGTGCCCAAAGCTTTCCCCAACCTCTCAAAAATCTGGATAAATTGTGTATATCTGTCCTCAAAAAGGAAAATGTGTCCTGAAAAAGGAAACTGTGTAAAAGCTTTACAGCCATGAAAGATGCTGTAAAAATCTAACCTATGCAACTTTAATTTCAAGTTGCCACTCATTCTCTTAATAAGCTTCTGCATCTCCTGAAAATGGTTTTTCCAACATCAGATAACATGTAGGAGCATTCTATAATTGCAAGCATAGCTGCTGTGCACCTAATGGTAATGGGATAGGAGACAGCTATTCCTCAGTCTATGGTTTCTAATGAGGATATCTTGCCAATTTGACTCAATTGCTTACAGGATTCATCTTGGGATAGGAGACAGCTCTTCCTCAGTCTATGGTTTCTAATGAGGATATCTTGCTAATTTGACTCAGTTGCTTACAGAATTCATTGGGGCCACAAAATTCATCAAGGTAAGATCCAACACAGCAACTTCTCTACATTTACTGCTGTTAGAATAATTGATAGGTATAACAGATGCTGGGGAACACCACTGAGTCATGGTGATGGGAAAATATTTCTTCTTCATCTTAAAATTCCAGGAGTTGTTCTTTCATAGCATAAAAAGCAAACCAGAACAATGCTACAAATAAGTCTCCTTCCCACCACTGTAATAGCAAATAAATAGAGAACAGAATAAAAAAAAAGCAGAAGATAAATGCATATGATTCATCATAGAATGATGACACTATAAAGAAATCAACAGCATTTATGGCAGGAGCCACAGTTAAATGTTAAACATATATTCTGCATGCAGGAAGCTCCTGGTTTTATTCATAATATCTTCAGGTATTATGTGAAAAGGGAACTGCTCTCAGCCTAGGCAAAAATATTTGAATATGGACTGATATTCTGCTCTCTCCGTGAGGTTTGTATATTTCAAAATTTAAAATTTTTAATTTTTTTGATAATGTTTGCATTTTAAAAATCACTTTTTAAACCTGTTATAATTATTGTTTTCATCTATGTGTCATTTTATTCAATTGTTGTATGCCACCCAGAGTTGCTCTGTGTGAGATGGGTGGCTATATAAATGTGACAAATAAATAAATAAATAAATAAATAAATAAGGCATCATTCTGTGAAATTTTTAGTTCAATGGGATAATCTTGCTCCTTGAAATCCAAAAATATTCAGTAGACTAGAATAAGTATAATATGTCAGAACGTGTTAAAAACTTGTATGCTGCCTGAATCGTGAAGTGATAGCACAGATAGCACACAGAATAGGATTAAAAGATCAAGTAAAAAAAGGACATAATTGCCAGTAAAATTCATGCCATGCATTGAAAATGACTAACCCCAACCAACCACCATCAGAGAGCCCATGTCTACACTGTACCCTAGGGCATTTCAGGTTTCTATGGCTCTAGAAAAGCCCAACAGGGTCAGGGTCATGTGGATGTCAGGGAGAACACTGTTCCATTGTACTGGTCTATGACTGTAATAAAGATTGATTGATTGATTGATTGATTGAACACTGTTCCACTGGGCAAGTGCGGCTGCCAAGAAGGCATGTCTCCTTGGTCCTACAAGATGACATTGATTTACAGCTGGGACCAGCAGCACACCAAACGATCCTGATCTTACTGGGTGGGTAGAAACAACAGGAGAAAAACAGTTCAGGTAACCCGTCCTAAGCCATGATGAGCTAAATAGGCAACAACCAATACCATCAATTCTACCTGGAAGCCTATCAGTATCCAGTTCAGCACACAGAGCAGTGTTGTTACATGAGCAAAATGAGAAACGCCCATAACTACGGGCTGCATTCTGGACCACCTGTAGATTTCTGTTGGTCTTCAAAGGTAGCACCATGTAGAATGCTTTGCAATTGTCCAAAAGAGAGATGGTTATGGCATGAGTGATTGTGAGGAGGCATTCCAGTTCAGAAAGGGATGTAAACAGTATACAAGATGGATGCCTCCTAGCTACAGCTGCCATCTGACTGGAGATGTTGGTTCTTGACAGTAATAGAGCAATGTAAGGATAAGAGAAGAGAAGTGGGGCATGGCATGAGTAGCATTGTATTTATTATGGCAGTATTGGCTATGAAGTGCCAAAAGGTATGGTGAGGTCCAGATTTGGGTAGAGGAACGATGTTTGTAGAAGATTGAAATCAAGGGCCTTTCCTAAATCCTGCTTATTGTTCCAGATGTGGGATTTTCTGATGGAGAGCACAGCTTTATTTTCAAAATTGTATTGTGGAATTATAAAAAGGGATAAAGATGTCCTTCAGCTAACTCCTGGGTGACTACATGTAGGGTTTGCTTTTTTTTTTTTGGCAACAGTATAGAAGTGGTTTGCCATTGTCTTCTTCAATGATTTTTTTCCCAACTTCCCAGTCTTGCCTGGAATGTCCTGGTGGTCTTCCAACCAAGTACTTCTCAGGTCCTGCCTTTCTTAGTTTTCCAATATCAGCCAAGCTCATTAGACACTGCCATTGCTGTAATGCCATGCCCAGCAACCCATGTTATCATAGTGAAACCAAACCGGTTCTCATACTTTGCTGAAGGCAAGGGATTTATGGAGCCATCCCGATGCCTTCACAGTTGTTAGTATAAAGCATATAAAGCATATAAAGCATATATGTATTTGGGAAGAATATATATTTTGGGAAGGAAAGAGAAGACCTGGGGGTCTGGCAATGGTGGGGAGCTCTTACAATGGCTGTATTGAGCTGATGTAGAATGAATTCTGTTGTTGATCATGATTTTCTGTTTTTTTAAATTGATTATGGACAGTTTTTATATGTTTGTATATTGGTCTTTAACTTGTTTTTATTGGATTGTTTTTACCTGTTGTGAGTGGCCCAGAGTCACTTAGATGAGATGCGCAGCCAAATCAAATGATTATTAATAATAATAACAATTTATAGGTGGACTTGGCTTAACATGGCTTAAATCTATGGTATTGCCATGTCTTAAGGAACAGTCACACTTGGAATCTTAATGTAAAGGGGTCAAACGCTCCACTTGATTCATTTCCATTTCCTTATTTCCTATTTTAGGGATGTCGCTTAAGCAACTGGGATCCGAGCCTTGCAGTTGAAATGGCTCACAGGATTGGGATGCTGGCTATTAGAAACTCAGGAGTGTTTCATTTTAAAATGAGCAACAAAACAACACAAACTAATTTTGCTCCTGACAATTTCTAATTGCACAACACTGCTCTCATCAGATGGCAGAGGTGTTGTTCCACGTAAGTTTAAACGATTCTCCCAAAAAGAAAGAGCACATTAAAGCCTATGTGTTACAATTGCATATAGAAAACAACAACATGCCTGCAGAATGGAACAAGCTTGTCTTGTTCCATGGAAAGTGTCTGCACAGAGACAATTAGTCACTAAATAATGAGGATGAACTCCTAATTGCTTATTCTGAAGCACATTTATTTATGACTCTAATTCATATAAAACTTTGCCCAAGCAGTTCTGTTCTCCCTCCCTTTTTCTACAGTTCTATAGTTATGAGGATTAATTCTAAATAGATGGAAGAGACAGGGCACAAAAGAAGTGCTCTGATGTTCTGCAATGATGACTTGTCAGAAAGTAATAATCACACTTGCTGGTTGGCTTGAAAGTTTGGGTGAATCAAGTTGTTTTCTTTAAAAAAAAAAAAAAGAAAGAACAGTGTTCATTCCCCCTTTGGGGAAAATAAGAAATTTATTGGAATTAAGTTTCAGTGATCTAAGCCAAAGATCACACTGTAAATAGCCATTGCCTGAATGTTCAAAAGCTTTCCAGAAATGTTCAGTTTGATGTGAACTGTGGCACAAGAAAACAATGTTGTTGTTTAGGGAGTTGAATGGAGAGGAACCTGAATTTTATGTGAAAAGGGAGTATGGTTATACCTAGGCCATCTTGGATGGTTATATTCTCTCTTGCTTGCAAGTTCACCAAGGATAGGTGCAGGATATCCTTTTCACACACACACACACACACATACACACACACACACACACAAACACACACAAACACGATAGAGAAATGTCCAAGTACTCTTTCTATATAGGGAATAACAGCAGTTCTAGGGAACAAGTAATTCCTCCCCGTCCCCTGGCAGAGACCTTGACAGTCCTTGAGGCAATGGCTTTCAAATAAATAGAGCTGCCCTCAGGAGAAGATGACAATTCTCTCCCACAGAGACAGTAAAGCAGTGGCAAAAAAATAGTAAAACGGCAAGAGCCAGAAAACCCTTCACCTCTCAGCAGATAAGGTGAGACCACCAGCCATTCTGATAGTCTCTGTTTTCCTTTTCTTCTGTTATTAAAACAGGGGCCTGAAGAAGTAGAAAAATGGGGGGGGGGAACCTGTTGCTGGTCAAAATACTGCTGTAATCACTATTAACCCACCACCATGTCTCAAGGCTGTCTTTAGAACATCCCTTGAAATGTTGTACCTGAGAACATACTCTGATGTTATCCCAGATTAATTTTGGAACTACTGAAATGATGGGTGCAGGCAGCCACCAGCAACACTTGCTGGCCAGACTTATTTTGTGTCTGTGTGTGTGTGTGTGTGTGTGTATGTGTATTTCACTATGGTTAGTCTTACTTCAAAAAGTATGGGGATGGAAAAGAAAGAAAAGGGAGATGGAATGTGACACTGACTAGCCTTCTGGTTGGCTTGGTTCTTGGCCAAAGAGGTTTTCCAACCCCTGGTTGCCTCTTACTCCCATTTCTTGTGCAAACTTACTGGATGGAGTTCTCAATGCGAGTGATGGTGAGAAAAGCCGCTAGATTTGCAGTGTAGGATGAGATGACGATCAGGGCAAACAGCCACCAGGCACCCATCATCATTCGAGTTGCCAGTGTGGTATAGGGAACTTCTCCTCCTGTTGAGCAAGAAGGGTAGAATGGTAAGTATTCTAATTGCAAAAAAAATCCCCTTATTCTTAGGAACATGCTCATATAAAACAGCATCCTTGATATCAGTCAAAAAAGCTTCTAGGAAAAAACCTTGGAGCTCTAGGTAACTGAGACCCATAAATGAAAGCCATCAAAAGAATAAAAGGCACTGTTCCATGATATCTAGTTATAGAATCCTCTTAAATATATATCTGCTATTTATCAAGAAACCTGGGTCAATATCTAACATAAAGAGCATAAATACCAGAAGCATTTCTATTCCTCTGCAATTTTTTTTGCTATTGATTTTAATTAAGCTCTCTGGAAATGTAGATATTCTTCAAAAAGAGATCTGGTATCAACACATCTATATATAAACACACCATCTGAATTTTCTTTAGTCCATAAAGACACAAGCACAGTTGCTAAATGCTATAATACATGCACACACACACACACACACACACACACACACTAGAGGGAGAAGGGAGAAACAGGAAGATATTAATTTATATTCAGCCATTCAGATCCAAGATTTTTCCCTTTGTTGGTAAGATACTTGATAAAATAGAATAAAATTGAAAACTTCAACCAATTATTAAACAAAGTAATCATCCAAATAATATCTTTATAAAATGTCTATATGCACACACAAATACATTTTTATTGATAAGAGTAAAAAAAAACTTCCTTCCTTCCTTCCTTCCTTCCTTCCTTCCTTCCTTCCTTC